CATGTCAATTTGCTTGTGAATGGTTCTAAACGTATGCACCACGCTACCCAATCAGAATAGATACATAACATGTCGCAGAGTAATTTCGAATGGTGCGGTTGCTAAATGCTTTGGTTCAAATTACGCTGGTAAATTCCGTTCGCTCAATCGAACGAAGTAAATTTCAGGAATATGCCCAAATTCCGAGTTGCTAAACGTCTCTAATATCCCCACTACACTCCACACCTACCCTAAAATCCTCCATGCCCAGCCGGGGGCAGCACATTCTAACTCAATAGTTGCCTAAGTAGCGCGCAGGCGCAGAACGTCGATGCAAGACAATACGCATATAGAGAGGTTATGTATGCATACGCGTACGTGTTTTCTAACTTCAAGCCATGGTGTGATTCCACTGTCGACATTGATTGATGCTCTAAATATCGGGCAACAAACTTGCGGCTATCGTCCTGCAAACCGCTACACTACATTGACGGTTACTGTTAACGCCTTGGTGAAGAAGTGATCGCGGTGGCCTAAGTAAGCGATAAGTTGATGTTCACCTGTGTTGGAATCCCTGCGCAAAATAGTTATTGGTGGAACCAGCATAAGACTCCCCTTTATCCATGCATTATCCATAAAAAGCCATGTTATAAGACCCAACAGGTGGAGATGCTCTATCTAACGTGACCGACCAGTGATGTGCCGATTTATTTCATCCAATTAAATCGTTCGAGCTGTATTATTGGACAAAACAGAACCTCTCATCTCTCATGCCAATAATCTTGTAAAAGTTTATGGTGGAAAAAATTATTATATGTAAAAGGTTTTCGAAGTTTCAAAAATTGACATCCAAATGCCGCCTCGACGCCGTACACTGACGACACCCTGAGAGCAGCCGTTCACAGTCCTATCCAAAACCCATTAGGTAGAGTAATTATCCACACGAATTTTCCAATACAATTTCCCTGAAAATCCTTCGGGGAATACCGGTACAAGTAAGCAGAACTACCGCTGTGTTCGTTGTTGCAGCACTTCTGGAGCACCTACCAGTA